ATATAAAAAGGAAATGGAAAGATATACAGGAAATAAAATAAAAATCTTGCAGACAGATAACGGAAAGGAATATGTTAATAACGAATTCAACACGTATTTAAAGGAAAACGGCATAGCTCGACGCTTATCAGCTCCTTATACGCCCCAACATAATGGGTTAGCTGAACGGAGAAATAGAACTCTCTTGGAAAAAGCTCGATGCATGTTAATCGAATCAAAAATACCAGAAAGTTTTTGGGCCGAAGCTATACACACGGCGAATTATATAACGAATAGAGTGCCTTCCAAGGCCACAAATGGAAAAACACCTTTCGAGATATGGGTTGGTTACACTCCATCAGTGAGACATTTCAGATGTTTTGGAGTAAAAGCTTTTGTATTAAATAAAAGAAATTTAAGAAAATTTTCACCCAGAGCCAAGAAAGGATTTTTTGTCGGCTACTCCGAAAATACAAAAGGCTACAGAATATGGGTCTCAGAATTGAAAAGAGTCGTTATAAGTAGAGACGTAAAATTCTTAAAAGATTTATATTACAAAGAAATAAAAACAAATGAAAATGAAGAAGGTATTAAGTCGTATATACAATTAAATTCAGAACAAATAGATACGAAGCAAATAGATGAACAAATTCAACCTATAGTTTCTGATCAAAATGATGACGATAATACCACAAATGAAGAACCCATAACGCTAACTGAGGAAGAAGATAATCTTAGTAATATAGAACCCAGAACGTCACAACATAAAAGACCACAAAGAGATAAAAAGAGACCAGCATGGTTGAAAGACTACAAAGTAGAAAATGATACAGATGAGAGCATGCACGTGACAGAAATGGCTTACCTTGGTGAACACGATGAAAATGATGCAGGCTGGCACGATGCTATTAAAGCTGAAATAAAAGCACACATTAAAAACGGAACGTGGACAATAGCAAAGAAAGAAAAAGGTATCAATGAAGTAGATTACAAGATGATATTAAGAATAAAAACGAAAGCAGATAACATTGAAATAAAGAAGGCTAGGTTAGTGGCGCGGGGATTCACACAGCAACCTGGTGTAGATTATACTGAAACATTTGCCCCCGTTGTGAAACTAAGTTCTGTTAGATCAGTCATTAGTTCAGCCATAGAGGATAATCTAAAATTAGATCAAATGGATGTCACTACAGCGTATCTTAATGGAGAGCTAGAAGAAAATATACAAATGAAAATGCCTCCTTACTTAGAAAAATATGTAATGGAAATTATGGTTGACGAAAGTAGTCAAAATGATTTAACATTCTTCAATAAGGCTAAACGGATGCTAGAAGATATTAGAAATATTAAAGAAGAAAAAGTTTGCAAGCTTCAAAAGGCTTTATACGGATTAAAACAATCCGGACGCCAATGGTATAAAAAATTAGATGCAGAATTAAAAGATATAGGTTTTGAATCATGTAATGCAGATCCTTGCATATACCTATTGAAGAAAGGAGGAGATAAAATAATAATAACAGTCTATGTTGACGATTTAATTATAGCATATTCAAGTTCAGAAATTTTAAAAGAAGTAAAGAAAGCACTAGAGAGAAAGTTCGAAATGAAAGACATCGGAGAGTTGAAATACTGTTTAGGTATAGAATTTAAACAGGATAAAGGAAAAATTACTATGAGTCAAAAGAAATACATTAAAGATATCCTTAAGAAATTCTCCATGCAAGATGCAAAACCTGTGGCAACTCCTATGGAGACAGCATTAAAATTAAAGAAAGAAGAACATCCAGATTCGAACTTACCCTATAGAAACTTAATTGGAGCCCTCATGTACCTGTCAGTTGCCACGCGACCAGACATAGCTCATGCTGTTAGCTATCTTGGTCAATTCAATGCGTATTATGGAAAAGAACACTGGGCAGCTGCAAAGCGCGTAATTAGATACTTAAAAGGTACAATAGATTTAAAATTAACATTCCACAAGAATGGAGATAAAATTTTAAAGGGTTACGCAGATGCCGACTGGGCATCGTGTCCATTAGATAGACGGTCATATACCGGCCATTGTTTTATAAAGAACGGTGCGGTCATAAGTTGGGAGTCAAGAAAACAAAGGACTGTAGCACTCTCAACGGCGGAAGCCGAGTACATGTCTTTGAGCGAATGTACAAAAGAGGCTGTTCATTTGAAAAATATTCTGACTAATTTGGGTTACTTCAAACAAAAAGGAATTACTATTCACAACGACAATCAAGCCGCACAACAGTTAGCAATGAACCCTATTATTAGCGCCAAATCCAAACATATCGATATCCGCCAACATTTTATAAGAGATATGGTGCAACAAAATGTGGTGCAACTTTCATACCTAGGAACAGGGAATATGATAGCGGACATCTTTACAAAAGCTTTGCCTCGTCCTAAATATGAATACTGTCGCCAAGAGCTGGGACTCCTACAGTAGGTAGATACTATGCCGTGAGGAGGAGTGTAAGAAAGAGGTTGTACACGGCTATAGACCTACAGCTCAATTAAATAGAGAAATAAAATGACTTGTGTCTTGTATACTAAAATAATCGTTGTAACATTGTACGTAATAAAATATTTAAATATTAAATAACATTATTGGTCTCCTGTAACATTCCACATCCATCAGTTTCGACCGTCCGAAAGTATTATCTTTAATCTATAGTTTTAACGTTTGCTAACCATTGTTTTAATTCATATTCCGTTAAAACAAGAAGTAAATGCTTTATCATATCAGCCGTTAACTATCTGCTGCTAAACAAAGACCTCACAGATTACAGTTTATTTGATTTTAAAGTCTTTAATGCAGTATTAATCTCTTGCTTAAATTGAATTTGGAAACGATTTAACCGATTAAAAAAAAGAAAAATTTATTATGATAACTAGCGACCCGCCTCGGCTTCGCACGGGTGCACATCACATCACATTTGAAACCTCTAAAATTATGTTATAGTGTTTCTCTACTATATTATGCATGTATTATACATAATAAACCTTTCTTTTGAATCACTCTATCTCTTAAAAAAAAACCGTTTTAAAATCCGTTGCGTTTAAAGATTTAAGCATACATAGGGAAGGACAGACAGCGAAAGCGACTTTGTTTTATATTATGTAGTGATTAAAACATGTTTTAAAATAAAAAGAAATGTTGTGTGCAGATATTGTCGATCAGATAAAAACCATCCAAATAGTTCAGAAAAGCTATGTTAATAAAATAGCTTTGCTTAAATCATGTTGTATTCCATGTATTACTAAATAAGATTGTCTGCAAAATTATTCAATGATTTTATAGGTAACTATAACTCTACATTCATTGAATATTACGATGTCTTTTCAAATATTTTCTACCTGTGATGGAATGACTAATGGAACAGCTAGCTATATAATGAATATATTATGTTAAGTCACAGAACTTTATTCATATTTATTCGTATGCCACGTGGTACACATTAGATATTATAATAAGTAAGCACATGAGACACGTGACACCGCAATTTACAGAGAGAACCATCCACTTTTGATGACAGTTAAAAACACATAGTATTATTTATTTTTATTTATAATATTATATTATGAATTAAATGTAATATTACATAATAGCTACTCATCTTAAAAAAAATCATTTAATGTATAATATGTTTTATTAATTAGATAATTTTTAATTTTAACTCAATTGCTATTTTTTTTTATTTTCTAAGTTTTTTATCTCATTAGATATTTTCTTATATATTAAGATTGACATTAATTGGGCACCAAATTTAACTAACTGTAGTGTTGTTTTGAATATATATTTATAGAATATGTTTTTTTCTTACAAATTTGCAAGTTCCGAGTTTTGTTCAATGTAAATGTAAATAGGTGTAGTGACACTTTTTTTAATGGATGATAATATAATGGTAGCCCTGTCTGTGATAACGGTATACGGTTAAAACAGCCTCGGATCTTTATTTTTAACTCTTATGAACCTATTTTAACTATTAAGCTATTTTCTCTTTTTTTTAGTTAAATTCCCAATTCAATTCAATTTAATTTTATAACAATAATACATTTTTAGACTGTACAAGTGCAAAATCACAAACATGCAACAATTTTACATATTAACAATGTCACATACAAATATGATAATAATAATTAGTCTAAATTAATTAATTAATAATAACAAAAATTTCAGTGAAAAATCAAGTAACTATACTCCCAATTTATATATTTCTAAAATTCTAAATAAATAAAATATCTAAATAAATAAAAGTAATATACTGATTTAAGTTGATCTGTAGTTAGCACGCCCTTTAAACTCCTTAAAGCATAGCACGATTTTGACGAACGACAAATTTGAAGGAAAGTGACAAAACAACATTTAAAATAGATTTGCAGGTTTTGATTTTTATAAATAAGGGGAAAAATGTTTACCTAAATATTGCTAATGTTCACTATTAAAAGTTATTAAGTTCTCGTTTAGTCCCTTTCTTTTCTCGTGGGTATTGTAAGATGCAACTAAGGAAAGGCGAAGGATGAGCAGCAGTGTCCCTCTTAAAACATCTGCAGAGCCTAACTGCAATTGCTAATCCACTTACTAAGCATGACAACTATTGGAAAAACCCCCCTAGGGAGAAGCTTATGTTCAGGAGTAGACAGTTAAAAGTTGATATGGTGATGATAATGATGATTATTAAATTATAAAACTAAGCGTCGGTGATGTGTTTTTAAAAATGAATCACGATGGTTCCACGCTTCCAGGCTGAAGCATACTTAGTATCTGTTTTCCTAACGGCCCTCAGTCTCATGATGGAAAATATAGATTCAGCAAATGCGGTTTTATAATTTCCTTGGAACTGAAGTGTGGAAAATAGGAACCACATCTGTGAGGGAAATGATATTTGGAGAAAAAAAATAGTATAAAATAGAATAATATAAAAAAAAATATTTGACGTTTGAGTAAAAAACAAATTTCATCTCTGACAGCCCTGTACAGTATAGTCTTGTCTGGTCTAACTAATCTGTAATGTAAAGTTACGCAATTGTCAATTTGTCATATTGTTGTGAAAAACTTTGTTGATAATTTTGACCCAATGAGTTTTGTCATTTAATTTCTTTATTTTTTCGAAGTTTCTTATTATTTAAATCCAAGAGTCCTTGCAAAATGTACCCTCGATGTGGAAGTAGTGGTTCCATTCAAAACATTCATCAGACTCCTTCATCATCTAACCATAACTCTGGTTAAGTACCTATTTTTAAGAAACATATTGTTTTATATAATTTGTTCATATGTTGTATTCAATGATCTTAATAATTGTTGTTCTATGAGTGCTTCCTTATTGCTTTCGTATACAGTGTGTACATAAAAGATTTTAATAGTTACATTTCGGAACAATACAACAATATTAGCAAACACAGACTTAAATTGGCTACTAATTATTTCAATATTAAAAGAAAATTTTTTGCGTCTTCTTTTTATAAGAATCATGTCATATAAACTCATCAATTGGTGTAGAAGACATTTCTAAAGTAAATAACCTTTATTTTTAACTGACTTCAAAAAGAAAAGTGTTCTTATTTGGTTGTATTTTTTTGTTTGTTAAATCCTAACTCAAATCGATTGAGATAATTATTTTGTAGATTTAAAAAGATATACTTACAGAATTTTTCCATAGAAATTTTATTAAAGTCTACTGAACAGTTTAGTTTTTAAGTCAAAATTTGACTATGGTTTTGCTACAATTGAAGTGTTTTTTTTCTTTTTTTGTGGAACACTTTTAATTACACTAAGAGAAAGATAAGTTAAATGTTGATAGTCATTTCTAAAAATCTTATAATTGTTATATTTAGAGATGGGCAATCCACCTGGGTGGGTTTAAAGTCTGGTGGGTAAAAACCGGGTGTTTTGGGTTTATTGGGTTTAAACCCCATAAACACCCAAATTTTTGGGTGTTTATGATTTTGTACTTCATCATCGTCATCTCAGCCGCAAGACGTCCACTATACTGGACATAGACAATATTATTATGCAGCCTACAGAATAAAAAACTTTTAATTTGATTTTGAGTTTATTAAGAAAGAGATGAAAGTAAAATGTAAAACTACAGTCAATCACTGTCAGATTCAGAGTTATTACAAGCGATGAATTGTATAGGTTCGATAGGCTCTATTTCGTCTAAACTGTTATGTTCATTTACTTGCTCAATGAAAGCTTCTAAGGTATTTTCTTCATTAAACTGAATGTCCTCGCATTCAGCTTTATGTTTAAGATTCCAGTTATAACAAATGAATGAATTTTTTTCAGTTCTTTCAGTTGTAAGTCGATTTCTTTTGTTATTATGTATGTAGCCTTGGATACTAAAGGAACGCTCAGTGGCTGCCGAAGTACAGGGAGCTGATAGAATACGAATCGCTACTTTGCTTAACTCAGTGGAACCACAAATACCTTTCCACCATATTAGGGGCTCAATGCTATCTAATGAGCTCCATACAAATCCTCTGGCCCAAAAGTTTTCTTTAGCTTTATAACACGCCAAATCTGCCATTACATTTGACAAACTTAAGTGTTGGCTTAAATTGTAGATAAACTCCATACCCTTAAGTTCTTCCTCTTGAGTAAGTTCGACTCCTAGAGTCCTGGGGTCTAGAATATATGCTGCAAAATGTATTGGCCTCATTGCCATATTGCATCTTGAAGATACTGATGTTAGAATCTGCTGTTTGCTTTCTTCGCTCAATGTCGAAATCTCATTTAATGCAAAACGTATCTTAGCTTGTACATCTCTAAATGTAATGTATGTGCGATGCAAACGATTCTGGTCGCTCTCTAAGTAAAATATGCTTTCAGTGACTGGTTCCAAAATACTTATACATTCCCCTGTCTTCGTCCAGAAATCATCACTTAGAATTAAATCTTTAATATCTCTTGAAATTACCACATCTTCTCTAACTGTTAATATTTGCAAAGCTATCTTATTTGCTTTCAAACTTTTTAACGAAGTAACATGACTTCCCCATCTTGTAGCACAAGGCAATTTTAGTGTTTGTGTAGAATCTTCACCCTGCCTTGATTTTATCAACAAGGAACTTAATCGTTGACTCCTTTTAACAGTTTTTATTATATTTATGGCTTGCATAATAAACACAGTTACTTCTTGTATCTTTACAATATCTTGGCACAACAAGTTAAGGATATGTGCACAGCAACCGAGAGGAACAACATGTGGATATTTGAGTTTTGTTAATTCGAATGCCTTTTGTATATTTCTAGCGTTATCGCCAATAAGTACAAGAAACTTATTTGCTCCATACACTTTCATTACTTTTTCAACTTCTTGGCTAAGGTATTCACTAGTGTGAGGATTACTTTCTGTATTCAAACTTTTAACGTATGCAGGTTGAGGTTTTGATATAAGAAAGTTTATTATTCCTTCATTTCTTAAATTAGACCAGCCATCGCACTGAAGGTGTAAGTAACTACAAGCATTTAGTTCCTCATTTAACTCAAAACGCATTTCTCTATATATTTTATCTAAGTATTTTGTCGCTAAAGCTTTACGTGAAGGTATTTTAAATTTTGGTTGCAATTTTTCGAAAAATTGTATCCATAAAGGATGTTGCACCATCGATAATGGCGTCCCTGTTACAAATATAGCTCTCGCTAATTCTGTTTTTATATGATCATCGGTGTCTTGAAACTCAGCATTTATTGTAGTGTTAGCAGACGACGAGGGGCTTATAAAAGAATCATTTGTCTCTATCTCTGACAGTCCAGACATTTTGGTTTTGGACGAGCTATCTTTTATAAGTTTCATAGAGTCTTTTAATGTTTCTGGAGATTTTGGACAAGTGATAAGATGTTGAAGCATTTTGGCAGCATTACTGAATTTGTAGACCTTATTACAAAGCTTGCAAGAAACAGACTTGTTTGGTAAAGTACGGTAGTGCTCCCATATGCGTAAATCTTTAGGTCTCCCCATTGAACCTAAAAAAATGAACGATGATTAGTTGGTCTGACGAAAATTCAACAATAGAGTGCCTATTTTTTTACAATGATTATTTCTTGTTATTTACAATAAATTTATTAAAAAAATAATAAAATAAATACAAAAAACCTTTGTAAAATTACATCTCCTCGGAGGATTAAACGCAGACGCTAGTTTATTATCGTATTGTTCTGTATTTTTCTCAGCAACTTCTTTAATTCGATTAGGTACTTACGCATATTATGTTAAAAATAAATATCTAGTACACATCTTAGGCTATCCACCATTATTATCCAATGACGACTCTCAGCTAACTATGCACTATCATCCAAAATAAACGTGTATGGAAAATTTTATCCCAGTCGGTTGAGGATTGAGGATAATTGCATCAACATACGAACATACCTACATACTTTTATTTACATAACGCAAGCTAAATAAAAGCTTGTAATAATACATCTAATTTTAAGTTAAAATTGTTAAGTGATCATGATATAATTGTATCATTCAAAAATCCACTTACCTTTAATTATTTCTTGTTAAGTATAAATATTATTTCAAATCTGCTCCCTTAATATGCACTTTTTTACTGCTTTTCCTACCTAACACGTTACCAGGAAGTCACGTTACCAGAGTCAGAGTAATAGTGAACACGTTTGACAGTGATTGTCGTCGCCTCATATTCAGCGTCGACGAATAGGGAATCCCCAGTCATAATGTATTGCATGCGTGGCGGTCTTACTTCAAATCCATAAACAAAGAGATAATTACAGAACTCGATACTAGATGGCGCTGTTTTTGTTTGAAGAAAGTTTGCGGGCTAAAATACATAGAATTTCATCAATGACTTCCACAAAGAACAACATTTCTGTTTTTTCTAAGTCCGTATCTCTTCCGTATATTTCATAAGATATAAGCTTGGGCTACATTGTTATGCAACGTGATTTTGTCGCTGTCTTGCTAGCAGGGTTGACAGATATACGATTTAAATCGTACTCATACTATTATTTGTCTATTTTTTAATGTACGATCGTAAAGATTATGATCGTAATTCGCACAAAAACATACGACTTTTTGGTTACCTGGCAACATTTTTATTATGAAACGAACATGCTCACATCATCAGTCACATGCAACAATTTATTGGGGATTTCCCCTTCACATCTGGCAGTCCTGCTTGCTAGAATATAGGTAAGTCAGCCACAGTTACTGACGATCGATATTTAAAGGGTATTGTTTTTGTGCTAAATATTTCATAAAAACGTTATTTAATACTTTGTGGATTATTAATTTAGTTGATAATCACTGGAAGTAAAATGGATGCTAATTTGAGAGATCAAGATCTTCGTATAAAACAGTTAATAAAAGAAAATCTACGTAAGTACTCTTTTTATACCTAGGTAGGTAAGGTATAATAAACACAAAAGGTACTTAGATCGCGTGTGTTCGAAGCATTTATTCTAATAAATTTAATTTAAAATTGTAGAAAGAAAAAAATGTCTGCCAAGCCGTAGCCGAAGCCGATCTCCAAATATATTTGGCGATAGTGAGACCCAGTGTCCAGATGATTTACCCAGCGTCGTCGCAACAAAGAAAAAAACGAGGATAAAGTAAAAGAAAATTTACTGAAAGAAGAAACAAACTGTTCTAAATGCTTAATTTATGGAGAAGAGGATAAAAGAAATGAGTATTTCGGACTGTTAGTGGCTCAAGAATTTAAATATATACGGCCATGTGTGCGAACGAGGTGTTATGAAGAAATTTTAAAGTATCTACGGGAAGCAAAAGGCCAACATGTTGATCAACTGCAACATGAAAACACTGAAAATTAATTACTTTCATTTTATTATATATAGATTTTTAAAATTTCCTGAAATATTATTAGTTAACGTTTTATTTAATATTGTAGAATTGATCAATACAATTTATAAAAATAATTTATTGGTATTACTTACATATTTTCAAAAAATACGTAAAAACCTATTTTTTTGGGTGATTATGGGAGTTTATGGGTGTTTATTGGGTTTTTACCAAAGCACCGGGTTTAAACCCGGTGCTTTGCCCATCTGTAGTTATATTGTATCTGTACTAATATTTTAAAGAGGAAAAATTTTATTATTTGTTTGGTTGTTTGTTTATAATGGATAAATTCATACAAATACTTGATCAATTTTAAAAATTCTTTCACATATAAAAAGCTCTTTTATCTTATTATATTTTCGAAAATTTTATCTACCCATATGAAACTGGGCCAGATTTCTATGGATATTTTTGAGATTAGAAAGTCAGAATTTGACAACACACTAATTCATTTAATAATGAGAATCAAACCTATAAAAATTTCCATAGTTAAATGTCATCTCGGCTGTGTGGTCCCGGCATAGAATAGACCACTCTTTCCTTTTCCATGGGTGTTGTAAGAGGTGACTAAAGGAGCTTAATGGTTGAGGGATGGGCAGCAGCATCCCTCTTAAAACATCCCCAAAGCCTAATTGCAGTTTTCAACCTACATGCCAAGTGTGGCAACTATTGACAAAACCCTTCAAGGAAGAGGCCTATGTTCAGCAGTGGACAGTACATTTGATATCATTAAGTATTCATATTTTAAGTGTATTCATTGTCACAGAATTTCTGGAGGGATCTGAATAAAAAAAACTGAGATTCAACAATATCTAATTTTAAAGCCTTAGACAAATACACTGTTGGTTGAAGCATAAAACAAATCACTTATCACTGACATTATGCACAACTTTATAAAGATAACAATGTTAAGTATTCTTGATGATGTCAGTATAATTTCAATCTTCAATTCTTATACATAAAGTGTATTTTTTTTTAGTTGTTTGTCCCTTAAATAGTAGTAAATGATTCAAACTACTAATAATATCATTTATTTCTCTATAAAACAGTCCTCTATCTCATTCAACAGTCCCCTGTCATGATATATCAGAAAATCACAATTAGCATTCTGTACATGAAATATATTTCCAATATTACTATCAAGGGGTGATTAGTGATCGATAATGATGCCAAAAATGCAATCGGTAAAATTTTTGTCTGTATGTTCATTATAGAAACAAAAACTACTTGACGGATTTTAATGAAACTTGGTACAATTATTCTTCATACTCCTGGGCAGGTTATAGTATATTTTTCATCACGCTATGATCAATAGTAGCAGAGCAGTGAAGGGAAATGTTAAAAATGTCCACACATGCGACGCCGGGACAGGCCGCTAGTGAGCAATAAAATAAAAAATTCTACTAACATTTATAAATGTGAAAGTGTGTTTGTTATCTCTTAGCATTGTAATGATTTTTTTTTATTTAAATTTGGTGGGCATACTATATAGAATGGAGAAGGACAAGGCTACTTTTTATCTCAGACATTGCTCACATTTCAGTCGTGCTGACAATGTCACGGATAAAAGCTAGTAAATAAATAAAAATTATACACATATATAAAAAAAGATATACCAGAGGGAGACTTTGTACAGAAGTTGTTTGTTTGGGAATGTCTGTCCCATTCATGTTTCAACCGTGAAGCAGCTGTGTTTGCATTGCATTTACAGGATATAGAGAAATAACTCCTGAGTCCTTAGGAATGGCAACGCATAGGGGGTATCATGGGTGAAACATTATACTCTATTATGGCCATGGTACTGCTCATGTCTATAGGCGATGGTTACCAATTTCCATCAGGTGGGCCGTCAGCTTGTTTGCCATTCTAAGCTGCATAAACTATTCATGTTTAGATCAATGCATTTATTGGTTATACTAATTATTATAAATATTTTACTAGAGGATGAAGATGATAGTGGGGATAATAAAGCATCTGCCATCAGTTTTAAAGAACGGAGAAGGGAAGCACATACACAGGTAGGCAAAATAACTATGGATATATCACATCTAATTGTGAATTCAAAACAACTACCTGCTTATAAATTTTTCTTTGTTGTCATTTCATTTTGAGACTTCTATTCTAAATTAAGTTCTTTTGAGACACTCAAACTCTTCTTAATGTCTCTAATTTTTAAATTAATATATTTTTAGATTGTCTTACATTATAAAAATAAATTGGTTTCATGTTTATTCAATTCATGTCACATAATATGTTAAATTGTCATATTTTTTTTTAAGGCTGAACAGAAAAGAAGAGACGCTATCAAGAAAGGTTATGATTCATTGCAAGAGTTAGTTCCCACTTGTCAACAAACAGATGCTTCTGGATATAAACCAAGCAAAGCTGCTGTAAGTGAAAGTTTTTGTGTAAAAGTTTTGGAAGTACATAGTGTTTTTCAAAAAGCTATTATTACTTGAATAGTCTTGAAATCTATAGGTGCTGTAACAAATTCATATAAGATGAAAAGGGACAATAGGTAGCAATGTATTATAAGTTGAATTTTATTATATTAGGGTGGCTAATATGATAGATACTGTTGTCTCAAAACCAATAATCGCAATATGCCCATAGATTTCAAAAGGAGTAGCACATTTGCCATTTATAAAGTCCTACTACAAAAAATTTAAATGTCTTATTATGAATTTTTGTTCAAAAGAAAATGACAGGCATTCCAGTCATCATTATTTATTGAAAGAATTATAATTACGTAGAGTATAGTTTATATGTATTTGTATTATATTGTTATGAATTTAATTAATTAAAGTTATATATTTATATCAATTTATTTCAGGTGCTTCAAAAATCAATAGACTACATACAGTACTTGTTACAACAACGTCGTCGGCAGGAGGATGAACGGAACGCTCTTCGTAAAGATGTTATAGCATTGCGCATTATGCAGGCTAATTATGAACAAATTGTGAAAGCTCAACATTCTGTACCTGGTCACAATGAACAGAGGCTTACTGATCAAGACAAGTTCCAAGTTGTAAGTTTTTACATTTTGACTATTACTCTATATACTTTTTTTTTTTTCGTGGGGTAATGCATCATGCAGACTCAAACGCCCCGGGGGAGGCGTATGGGTACTGCCGGACTCCTACCGGCTAAAACCACCACGACATCCCTCGCCGCGCCATATGTTGGGGACCCGGGTTCCCTTTCGTAGTCCGCCGAGTCCCAACTGCGTTGGCCCGCATTGGTTTGCGGACCCCGACTCAAATATGGAGCGGGCGCCTGATGTTAGCGTCCGCCTTTTTTGATAGTACGATATACGAACATACGGCTGATACCACTATTATGGTAATACCACTATTAGCTTTTGAAATGTCTGGAATATGACCGAAGGCTCTATACACACTTTGTGCAAGGCAATCATTGCAATCCTACTTTCTTTAACACCCCATTCCACTATGTAATTTGAAAAATAAATAACATGAAAAAATATCTGAAATGGTGCGAAATCGAAAGAAGTTTTTAAAATAATAAACGTGTTCCAAATTCAAAATAATTAATAAATTGAAAAAAATAAAAGTTTTTATGTAACAGTATTTATGGCCAATAGCACTCAAAAGTTACAATACCGCTCAAAAGTATTTGACCTTCATTTTGTTTAAGTTACAAACAATACGTTTTAAAGAGATCATTTATTAGGTTTCATTATTTGTATAACACCGCAAAATACTTATCTACAATACAATCAGCACAATTTAAACAGCTTATTGTTATTTGCCGTCTCCTGGTCATAAAACCATAATAGTGTTATTGTCGGAATTTGTTTGAAGTCGCAATTTTGTTTGGATTTAGTTATTGAGAAATAAACACAAATAAAATATAGAATAACTACTATAAATATTTTTATGTTATTTGATGTTATTTGATCAGAAAACACGCACTTTTTTGAAGAAAATGGGTAAAACTAAGAAATTTTATCAAGAAATCGGGGACATAATAATTGGATTTCATAAATCTGGTAAAAGAAATCATGAGATTTTTAAACTACATAAGATACTAAGACAAACTGTTGACTACATCGTTAAGAAGTTTGCGACTGAAAGTACAATTTGCAATAAACATCGTTCAGACAGACCGAGAACCACAACTTCGAGTGAAAATTTGAGTATGGTTATTACGAAATAGACGATTAACTGCTAAAATAGCAGCACAGTTCAATGCGAAATGTAATAAACCAGTCAGTATATCCACAGTAAAAAGAAGACTGATGCGATCCAATTCCTGAGTCCTCAGGAATGGCAACGCATGGGGGATATCATGGGCGAAACAGTATATTCTGTTATGTCCATGGTACTGCTCATGTCTATAGGCGACGGTTACCACTTTCCATCAGGTGGGCCGTCAGCTTGTTTGCCATTCTAAGTTTCAAAAAAATTTTTTGACGCAGGACTCATAGCATGTGTATCTCAAAACTACTTCTTAAACCTATTAACAAAAAGAAGAGGCTTAATTGAACAAGAGAACACAAAAATTAGACAATAGCAGATTGGGAAAAGGTCCTCTAGCCAGACGAATCAAATTTGGAAATTTTTGGAACCGAAAGAAGAGTTTTCGTAAGACAACATTCAAACGAAAGGGTGAATGACGCTTGTACTGTGGCTTCAGTTAAACACAGCGGGGGGTTTGGGGCTGTTTTAGTGGCTCCTCCATTTCATATCTTGTGCGAATACAAAGGTCACAAAAAGATATTGGAGGATAATGCAATGCCTCGTGGAACTCATTTAATTAATCCGGGATTTATATCTTAACAGGATTTAAATCCCGGACTAAAATATTTTATCAAAATTATCTTATCCGAAACACATGTCAAGACTATGCAAGGATTTTTAAAACGAAAAGAACAACAACAGGTGTTGAAACTTATGATATGGCTTCCACAGTCCCCTGAATTAAATCCCATAGAATTATTGTGGGATCAGTTGGATAGATAGGGACATTGTTTCACATCTCAGGAAGACTTATGGAAAAAACTGCAAGAAATATGGCAGAAGATAACCAAGACAACATTGAAAAATTAGTAACAAGGTTGACGAAGCTTTGAGAAGAGGCTGTCATTAAAAATAAAGGTGGACACATAGACGAGTCCAAAAATTAAAAATTGCATTCTTGTTATGTTTAAAAATAGCTAATAAACATGTTAAAATAATTATAAAATAATTTCACTAAATAAGACTTACAAAATGTATTTTACTCGGTGGCCAAATACTTTTGAGTAATAGTGTATGTGTATATATTAAGTTGACAGTATTTATTGTATATATTCAGATGACAGTAGGTAATAATTTTTTCTATAAATTGTTATATATCAGGATTTTGTTTACTATTAATATGGATCACAAACAATATTCTATCCCACCTTAAAACAATAGGTAACCGTCACCTACAGTTATAATTGTGAATGCCGCAGATTTATTTTCTCTTTATTGTTGTTTATTTTTCATATTTTTAATCTATACTGAAAACTCAAGGTTTTCTAACTCAAGAATTTATATTGTGGTGCCTATGACATTTATTGCTTTGCCACTCCTAATCTCGTGAGTCATAACCACAGTGATATTCTTTGTCGACTAGTTCTCTAACCTTTAGATAACAGACAAACTAAATACACTACTTGCATCGTTGGTTACTGCTGATTTGGCACTTAGAGACAAAGAGACCTAAATAAGAATAATGGAATTAACCATCATTGTTAGACAAAAGGCCTATTTTGTCAACAGCAATTGGCTCTATAACACTAGTTCAATTACCTCTTTGAAACTTCTTATGCTCTATGGTTGCCTACGTTTTTCCAGATTTGAACCTATGCTATAGAAATGATACAAATATAAATATGAATGTGAAACTATGTTGGGAGAATGTTTGTTTCTCAACCATTCTTGAAGTGCTTAAAAGATTTATATATAAATTAAATATAGTCCTAGTATGATAAATAGGATATTTTTAGACTAATTCACGCTGGTAAAGCCACAGGAAATAGCTAATATTAAATTAATCAACTTAAAAAATAATTACTGTAGCCCGTTTCTTCTGCCTACCCCCACTTCTTCCTGTTCACCAGGAATTTGGAGTGAAAGTAAATAGATATAACTATGCCTATTTATTTAGTGGTATATGATGTTATAAGTGCTTACTTGTATCTTGTATTCATGATAAAAAATATATTTTTCTTTTTAGTTTCAGGGTATAATGGATAAGTTATTTGAATCTTTTGAGTCGGTGCCTACTAACAATTTCGCCGAATTCTCAGGAGGTGTATTCAATTGGCTTGAGGAATATTGCAAACCACAGTCATTGAGAACCATGGTGCATGATGTGTTAAGAGAACAAAATTATACTCCTTGAGCTAATTGAAAAAAAAATAACACAAGTACTTGTAGTTACATATAGCGTTGTACGAAACCAAAATATTATTTGCCACATTTTATTATATAGTAACTAGTCAATATAAAGGCGAACTGCTTAAGTGGGCCCTCATTGAATTGTTGGCGATGTTTTTTTATTATTTTAAACTCAAAAGATTTCCATTGTTATGTTCCGAATAATATTATGGATGTAATATTACAAAAATATTATTTGTATATTCTTATTTTAATTTTTAAATCTACGAAATCTTTTGTGCCATTAAATTTTGAAGTTTAAGAGGCTGCTACCAACACAGTTAAGCAAATTGTCTATAAAATATGCATTATAAGAATTATTTTATTTACATAAGATGTTATGAAAGTTTTTCATACTTATGTCTTGTTTTCAATCAAGTCGTATAATCCGAATTACACCACCTGTTTTCAATTTGTGTGGCTTCTATTAAGTCCATTCCAAGATGCATAAAAAGTCTGACGGAGCTATGTTACGTATATTTTCATATGATGTATATATCTAACCACAAGCAAACTCCACGTGCGCTCGTAAATTACTAAAACTATCTATAATATATATAATAAGTATCGACTTTATAATTGTTAATATATAGGATCATTTTGCCTAATAAATGTGTTCAAGTAATAATATATTACCATTCGTTCCTAGTGTAACAATAAATATTTTGAATTGTAAGTTTAGCATTTTTGAAAGAGACTTGATGTATAGAATTTTGACAACGTTTTTATTCACTCCAGGTAGAACAAAATGAAGCCTTAGAAAAATATTGATTAAATTTTAAATTAGAAATAATAATAAACTATGGGTTCAGGTCTAAGATTCACGTAAAGAGTGTGAAATATTAGTAGTAAATACCTAACTATAAAATTCTTGTTATTGTTATTTTTGTAAGTTTGAAAGGTACATAATATTATGTATATGGATTGTTGTTTTCATTGTTTTAAATATTGATTCTATAATCAATATTAATAATGTATTATTATTAGTTGAAACTTTATTTTTTATTTACATGTTTAATACACCCTATACAACGACAATATGAGTGCCTTGTGTACATAATTTGCATTATTATACAAAATGCATTATTATCTATTTATATATAATTATAAAATAAATATAATTCTGTTTCACAAAAATAATTGTTATTATTTTCACATAAAATAGCAGTTTGAACATAAAAAAATACATAAAACGTTATATCTTAATTTCCTAAAAGTATATTTTAAACGCATAATTTACAGTAAATGTCTACTTACAATTTTAACACTTCAATCGTTCTTAAAACTAATTAGTCATATTAAGATATTTTTAATATAATTTTTAAATGTCTAAACACGTTCACTTTCAGTCGGTTGCGATAATAGAGTCACATCTCCCATCGGATAGCTCTCTGTCCTCCTCGCACATCCCACATTCTTAGTTCGTTCTCTAGGAGTGCCGCAGCATAGTCTCTTGAGAACGCATGCGTAACACATGAGTAGTGATAACATAAGCAGTAGCCCGACCACCACAGTGACCACCAGTAGTATCCTCAGCTCTCCGTTGGAGTCCACTGCGGCCGAGTTGCGGCCCATTCTCGGCATTTACTAAAATTTCATCTGAAAATGAAAGATTTATTTTTATAAGAAACTGTATATTTTGAAAGACTAGTTTTAAAGTAACAAATCTTACTGGAATGGCTATAATTAAATATCTAGGTACTTTAATTTGTGATCATCAGAGACTATAAAAAATACTACTCTACTTAAGTACCACTGTATCACTCGTGTTTTTACGGCTGAGCAACTGTATTTAATGGTAAGATATCCCACTAAAATTATAGAGATCAGAGGTACATAATATTCTAATTGTCAGAAATGGAAGTGGTGGTGTACTATGGGCATCGCTGTGTAGGTATAATATGTGATATCTATGCTGCTGTACATGTCTATATGTCACATATTGATATAGTTAGAAATACAATGTGTATATACAAATGTATGTGTACAAAGTTCCACTAACTGCCGACAATCACTATTAATATTGTATCGGTGACGTTCACCACTTAGGTAGTTCCCCACCTACCTTTGTGGGGGGGGGGGGGGAGGAAGATGATTAGTAATGGAATTTAATAGTCTTATTGCTAGTAATACATCCTATCAGGTCGACCTCCACGCGATTCCCTCTGAAAAGCATCGTGTTGATTTCTTATCGAATATGTCACAATGGCCCAACTGACCTGCTTTCATTCTAACCTATCATCTCTCACAGTGGTGAGATCTCTCATACTGCAGAGCCAGCATATACTGATAGCGCAGATGGACTTACCATTTCATCTTCAGCCAAAAATTTTAGTTGGTACCAGGTATGAGTGGTTCCGTAGGTACTAATGTACTAAACCGCAGCAGTGAATGAATGAATTGATACCTACATAATAATTTTTATATTAATTAATATTTGAGCTAAAGAGAAATGTAAATTTGTAGATAGTAACAGTGCTAATTGTTAGATGTACAAAGGTTTTCGTCACAACAATGTTAGCGCCTAGGTATGTCGATAATAATTAGTATTGAAATCATATGCCTTTAGCGGAGGGTTTCTTAAATATTTCTGTCCAAACACATCGACGTAAACGTGAACGCAGTTCTCAGATCAACTATCTAATCATGATATACAATACCATAGTGGATTTTTCAAATTACATCTTTTTGGGATTAAGTACTTTTGTTAACGCCTGCACAAAGAAGGAACAGGGGAAGCGGCGGGAAAGGGGGCGGTGCGAACGCGAGCGTAAACAAATGATACAGACGTCAAACCGACTATGTCGCGCATACACTCGTTTACTTTAATAAACCTTTAATCATAACTTTAAGTTTTAATTTTAATCCTTTGTACGGTCTCGTACAACTTTCAATTAAGCAAATTTTTTTTTAAGAAAATCAAGCTGGGCTTTGGCGCAGTAGTACAATACAATTAAGTGTGCCACGATTTGGCTGGTACTTATTCACTAGTAGTATTTTATTGTGTAATTATTAATAAAATTAATGATGCAAAAAATTATTTTTGTGGAAATAACCACTAGATATATCTAAATTAATACCAATAATAAAAGCTAAGAAACTATTCAGCTTATTAATCCCTCAAACCGGATCCTTATGGTGGGCGCCATTAGGTTGATATCGTGGTAATAATGATAATTTTAGGAATGAATCTAACAGGCTTTTTTAAATAGTGATAATGAAATGGAAATTTTGCCTGTGCTAATAGCAAATAAATGCAGGTGGCGCTTCAGGCGAGGATGAAATCAGGTCAGGTGGTCCATTGTGACAAATTCCTACCTACCTAGTACTTATGCGCCCATTCTTAAACTACCTAATAATTGTATTGCGCCTCCGATATTGAATATTATTAACACGGTGCTCTTTTCATAAGACGCATCCCGTCACCCGTATCCAATAGCAAGAACAAGATGCCTAAACAAAGCACCTTAAACACCAAAAAAAAACTTGTACTTAGATACAGGTATACCTGTACCATAGCATGGCATAGATATGCCATACTGCAGAAACTAATTTGCGAACTGTTGATTAGTTCGAATGTACTTTGAGAGATCGATACATCGACGAACATTATGCATACGTTGTTGTTGTTTATATGTAAAGTATGGATACCCTCTTTAAAGCTTTTATAACTTTTGATTGATTTTACAAAGTTGGCGTTGCGACATTTTTTGATCATATTTATTATGTAAGTAAATAAAGATACATAATTTAAATTTCCAAACACTTACGTACCTATGACACGTTAAGATATATTTATTGTTTAATTATAGGTTTATTAATAGATACTTATGTAGGTATAATTTACCTACTACATATACATAGAAGAGTGTGTCAAAGATACGCATAGTACAGTCATTAATCTATACAATTTATTTTTATGAAATCTATTTTTTCTTAATGGAATAAGATGGAATAGTACAGGTGTCTATGCTAATGGTATACTAATAATTCCTCGCTTTTCATAAAACCTATTGATATATATAGACCTTAAGTACGTAGGTAACTACAATATATGTAGATACCTATTTAACATACTGACAGCACTAAACTACACAAGGAATTGGCTAAGCCGAGCGTAAAAATAGATACTTATATTTCCAGATCACTCGTTTTCAATAAATTGGATCATTTTCCACGATACGTAACAAAGTGCTCACTTCTTAGATCAGAAGCACTGCTTTTTTCGTATGATTATGCGAATTTTGTCTACATAAGAAATTAGAGTAATTTCTAGCTACCTGATTATAATCATGTTATTAATCTTGCTTGGATTAAACAAATGGAAATTAGGCAACATAAGCGTAACTTCAGTAATTTGGTTGAGCATTGGACTTCCACGTTACTGCTTTGGTTTCTAATTAGGAGTTTATTATTAACTGTTTTTCAGATTCATAGTTAGGCCCTACATCCCTACACAAGTACGTCGGTACAGAAAAGAATAAGACTCCGGGCGTTGCATTCTATTTCATTTATGCAATAGCGATAACGTATCTATTGTTAGATGGTCTCTATTCTAGGGGCTGGCTGTTTTTAAGAACAATGATTTATAGATCCATCCAAGATATACCTAAGTAAGTACTAATATTAATATCTTTACGTACCTATAAACTCAGATCACCTGCCTGTCTTTGCATTTTTTTTGTACCTATATATCGTACAGCGAAGAGAGCAAAAACAAAGTTTGGAAAAGTACACTTTTGTAAAACGAGTTTTGGACGACGGAATTATAATCTTTATACGGATTGGCTCTTTAATACAAATCTTACATTGGAATATTTATAGGTAAAGGTCAACTGAAAACAATGGATTGTGTTTGTAGCTATGATTTAATGGTACACACTAGGTCACAAATAGATTGTTATGCTTTGTTCGGCCCGATGACGCGCTTCGCCACATACGCCCTCCAGTTACGGCACTAAATGATGGATCGAGCGTTTAGTAACCGACTTCAAAAACGGAGAAGATTCTTTAAAAAAAATAGAATTTTTAGGCTAGGGTAGGGCAGTGTAAGTAGAACATCTAACATTTTAAATCTAGGCAAATAGGTATCGTAGAACAATGCAACGAATCTGTTTAAGCAAGGAATCTGTACCATTTGGACGTGCTCGATGAATTGATCGGTTTCAATATTACCGCTATGGGACCTATATAGGCATGCATAGACACGGGAATGGTCGTTTATAATTTACACGCAACCACAAAACGAACCAGTGTATACCTTCAAGAATACCAAGGTGACGACAACAGATATTCTCTCTAACATACGCACAACGTTATAAGTGCCTATATACTACACTTGGATTTTAAAAAAGCAATACTTTTGTCTAGGTATGCGTATATGTATATGTAGGTAGATATATGCCGATGTATTTAGACTTAAACTACTACTTAGGGACTGTAGTAAATAGTAAATTTTAACATTAACTATGAGTGTAGTTCATAATGTACCTAGGTAAAATATTAATTTTATGCTACCAAGATTGGAATTAATTTTTGTATCGATGAACAATTAGTAATTATATTAGAAAAATTTTGAGTTAAATAATATAAAAGAGCTTTTGGACAATTTTTGCGACAGTTTGATTTGGATTCTATACTAAAAAAGTACAGATATGTAAGCACTACATTTACATATTTTAAAACTGTTTTTTTTTTGACTTAGAAAATATGCGAATAATGCACTTCCTGCCTTTATCTCCAAAGTTTGCGAAGCCAAAGATCTCAAATGATTACAGTTTGTAAAAGAATGCGTAAATATTTATTACAGAAAATATTGTAGGTATAGAGCAACGTTTCTGATTAAAAAAGTTTTTGAGAAATTATGAAAGAAAAATGATGAAACATAATAAACACACGTGTATTATATATGTAAAAGTTGGATGAAAAGGATGCCCAGCCGAAACTGCTGAATCTAGAATCATGAAATTTTGCATATTTTTTTGCGACTTAGAATGGCAAGCAAGCTGACGGCACACCTCATGGAAAATGGTAACCGTCGCCTATAGACATGAGCAGTAACATGGATATAACAGAGTCTACTGTTTCGCCCATGATACCCCCCATGCGTTGCCATTTCTGAGGACT